GAAATAAAATCATATGGGTACAGAGAAAAACGCCATCTCGGTGCAGTATGTGCCTCACAAATGACAACTATATGTTTGTGCTCATGGCACACGGGTGCACTGGGAACACCAGCTGCTGACTCTTCTGTCTTTGGCAGCTGTGCAGACCTTGAATCTCTTCCTCTCCACTGGGCCTGTCCTCCCAAATACTAAATGCATTCTCTTTACTGATATGTAATATTGTCTCCTCTGTTCTCTTCTACTCCCTTGTTCTCTCCTCTCCTCTATTACCTTCGCTGTCCCATTTTTCTTCTCTCCTCTAATCTCTTCCCCTTCCCCATTCTCTCCCCTCTCCTTCCCAGTTCTTTCCTCTCCTCTCCTCCCCATTCTCTCCTCTCCTCTCCTTCCCAGTTCTTTCCTCTCCTCTCCTCTCCTTCCCCACTCTCTCCTCTCCTCTCCTTCCTAGTTATCTCTTCTCTTTTCTTCTCTTCTCTTCTCTTCTTATCACTTCTCTTCTCTTCTCTTCTCTTCTCTTCTCTTCTCTTCTCTTCTCCTTTCTAGTTATCTCCTCTCTTCTCCTCTCCTCTCCTTTCCATCCCAGTTCCCTCTTCTCCTCTCCTCTCCTCTCCTTCCCAGTTCTCTCTTCTCCTCTCTTCTCCTTCCTAGTTCTCTCCTCTCCTTCCCAGTTCCCTCCTCTCCTCTCCTCTCCTCTCCTTCCTAGTTCTCTCCTCTCCTTCCTAAGTCTCTCCTTTCCTCTCCTTCCCAATTCTCTCCTCTCCTCTCCTCTCCTCTCCTTTCCTCTCCTCTCCTTCCCAGTTCTCTCCTCTCCTCTCCTTCCTAGTTCTCTCCTCTCCTTCCTAATTCTATCCTTTCCTCTCCTTCCCAATTCTCTCATCTCCTCTCCTTCCCAGTTCTCTCCTCTCCTCTCCTCTCCTTCCCAGTTCTCTCCTCTGCTCTTCTTCCTCTATTCTGTTCTCCTCCCCAGCTTTCTCCTCCCCTCCCCAGTTCTTCCATCTCATCTATTCTCCACTCCCATTTCCCTCCTTTCTGTCATTTTCCTCTCCTCCAGGTTTTGGTGCATGGTTTTTGAGTTAGAATTAAGTGATTAAGATGTAAACAATGTCTTTTTGTGTGGTTTAATGTAAAATGCTCAGTTCTATGAAAGCTGAAGAGCTTAATGCCTGTAAAAGCTCACTTATGAAAAGTTATTACATGAAATGGTTATGAAAGCGCTGCTCCACTATGGCCATGTCTCCTTCACACGTAAGATAAGTTACAAATCAGTTTATTTATTATTTTTATTCATTAATTGTAAATTATTTAATTAATGGGGAAGCCTGGACTTCTTCTGCAGTGGTCTTAATCATTAGTTATATGCACAAATCAGTTTTCAGAAAAATAATTCTCAGTAATGAATACTAAAATGAGTGAAAACACATTATGTGTATTCATAATAGGGTAGTTGGACATGCTGAACATCCAGCTCTGCTCTTCCTTCAGTCTGCTGTCAGCGCATGTTTCCTCCAGTAATAAAAACGTGTGTCTTTGTGAACGTTTGGTCAGAAGGGGGCACTAAATTCAAACTTAACCACAGCTACATCAGAGTGCCTACATTAAACATAATGCTTCAAACAGCATTCATTTCTGTCAGGCCCAATAGTAGTTTGGGACTCAGTAAATAACCTTCAGCTCTGTTTTTCTAACTCTTGCTAAAGGGACAATTATTACTTCTTGCTTTTTCTTGTTTCTTGTTGTTTTTGTTTAGATGCAAACAACAAATCAGTTTCAAATCAAGTTAGTTCAACACTTTCTTCTCCATCCTGTTCTGCCATACAGTAGTATGGAAAAGTTTGATCATCCCCAGTCAAATCATGTCTTGTTGATATTCTTGCTACACACACTCTTTAAGGAACAAGCTGGAATATTGCACTGTTCTGCAAAATTTTAGTGCACATCATTTCTATTTGATGCTGAAGCTAGACTGTGCCCAGCATGACAATATCTTGCAGACTTACATTTTTACAAAGTTGTTGTCATGGCCTCCCCCAGCTGGGCACCGTTACACAAAGCAAGACGTCTATCATGGTCTTCTCTGTCCCTGTCTTCATCTGTTTTCTTGCCCTGTGTTGTAGCCATGTGCTTGTGTTTTTGTTTTGGTTCTTGTGCTCCGTCCTTTCCCCGCCTTCGCTTTTAGTTCCTCACCTGTCTGTAGACTGTGTCCTCCCTCTCCCAGGTGTTCCCCATTTGTTGTAGCCTTTATCTTGTCCTTTGTTTCAGTCTGTGTTTGTCTGGTCTGCTCATCACGTTGTTAGATGTAGTTGCCCTGTGACTACCTTGTGTTTTGTTTGCTTTGTTTAGACCTTGTAGTTTGTTACCTTGTACTTTGTATGTTAACTAGTTTGTTTTGGTTATTAAAGTCTGCTCACACTTATATCCAGCCTTCCTGCTCATTCTATACATGACAGAAGACCAGACCATTCAAAGTGGATGTAGCGAGCTCGTTCAAAGTACAAAAGAAGCTCATTGAGGAGAATGAGCTTAGGCTTCAGGTTACTGTTTGCTTCGTCAGCTTCAGCCATTTCTGTCTGATGGGGATGAGAGGGCCACTTTGCTCTTGGTCCACATCTCCACCATCCTGGATGGGGAGAGAGCCGGTCTCCCCCCCAGAGGATAATTTTGGAGGGGGGTGCCAAGGGACTCTGACTTGTGTATCGCACAGCAGCAAGCCATGGCTGCTCAAGCCTCCCAGCCCGAGTCCCTCAGCCAGCTACAAGTGAGTGGTGTCCGAGCAGGAGTTGGAGAAAGTTGTATGAGGTGCAGACTATTACAACCCCAGTTCCAAAAAAGTTGGGACACTGTGTAAAATGTAAATAAAAACCCATAGACCCATATTTTACTCACAAATGAACATAGAACACATATCAGGTGTTGAAAGTGAGGCATTTTACTATTTCCTGAAAAACATTAACTCATTTAGAACTTGATGGCAGCAACGCATCTCAAAAAAGCTGGGACAGGGCTGAGTCTACCACTGTGTAGCATTGCCTCTTCTTTTAACAACAGTCTGTAAATGTCTGGGAAATGAGGAGACCAGTTACTGGAGTTTTGGGAAAGGAATGTTGTCCCATTCTTATCTGATGGATTGTAGCTGCTCAACAGTCCTGGGTCTTTTTTCCTGGATTTTTTGTTTAATGATGCACCAAATGTTTTCTATTGGTGAAAGATCTGGACTGCAGGCAGGCCAGTTCAGCACCTGGACTCATATGAGCATATGTTGTTCTGAAACCTCTATATACTGTTTAGCATTGATAGTGCCTTCTCAGATGTGTAAGCTGCCCACACCATAGGCAGTAATGCAACCCCAAACCATCAGAGATGCAGGCTTTTGAACTGTGCACTGATGATAAGCTGGATGGTCCTTCTCCTCTTGAGGCCGCAGGACATGCCGTCTGTCGTTTCCTAAAAGAATTTCCATTTTTCCTCAGTCCATTTTAAATGAACTTAGGCCCAGAGAAGATGGCGGCATTTCTGGATCATGTCAATATATGGCTTCTTTTTTGCATGATACAGCTTTAACTTGCATTTCTGGATTGTACGGCGAACTGTGTTCACAGAAAAGGATTTCTGGAAGTGGTCCTGAGCCCATGCAGTGACTTCCAGTACAGAATCATGCCTGTTTTCAATGCAGTGCCGCCTGAGGGCCCAAATATCTCAAGCATCCAATATTGACCTTTGGCCTTGTCCCTTGACTACAGGAATTTCTCCAGATCCTCTGAATCTTTTGATGACATGATGTACTTTAGATGGTGAGATATATAAGTCTTCAAAATTTTGCGTTGGGGAACATTTTTCTAAAATTGTTCTATAAGTTTTAGACACAGTTTTTCACAGACTGGTGAACCTCTGCCCATCTTCTGAGAGACTCTGCCTCTCTAAAATGCTCTTTTTATATCCAGTCATGTGAGTTAGTTGCAAATTGCTCCTCCAGCTGTTTTCTATTAGTACCATTTACTTTTCCAGCCTTTTGTTGCCCCGTCCCAATTTTTTTGAGATGCGTTGCTGCCATCAACTTCTAAATGATTTAATGTTATTCATGAAATGGTAAAATGCCTCACTTTCAACATCTGAGATGTGTTCTGTGTTCTGTTGTGAATAAAATATGGGTCTATGAGATTTGCATATCATTGCATTCTGTTTTTATTTACATTTTACACAGTGTACCAACTTTTATGAAGTTTGGGTTGTACTATTAGCCATAGTAAATAGGTTTTTAAGGATGTGTGACCAGAAATCAGCATTGGGAGTGATTGAAAGTCTTCCCATTTCCCGCTGAACTGAAGTCTATAAGCAGCATTCCAACATAAGAGTCCTTTATTAAGTTAGTGTTACTAAGATATTTGTGACTGTGTAGTTTCCACCAAGCTGTCAAAGTTGATTCAGTCTAGTCCAACAGAGCCGGACATGATTTCGTACCAATAATACAGGTCAGAGGACAGAAATTAGAATTTTTGGGCTAAATATGGGTGAGAAAGCAGACGTGTTAGGTTGGAAAGAAAGCAAGAGTGGAATTTATAAAGGAATCCATTGCTTCATGAAGGTGGAGCTAAAAATAGAGGGTGACAGTGTGCTCATGAACATTGTCCTGTGGACAGCAGGTCTACAGGACTATAACTTTTAACAATTTCTAGGAATGGCTCTTTTAACCCATCTTTATTCATTCAAACTTGTAGGCATTTCTTGCTCATGTCAGTGGAGGAGCATCATGCCAGGTGCAGCACACCATAGGATACAAATAGCTGCTCACTGCTGAATAAATCATGAGGCATCTCAAGCCTGTTTGGCTCTGAACATGATTCAGTGCTTTACCTTAATTGGTAATGTGGCTGTATGAGCCTCTGACTCCACCTTCATATGTAGCATGTGCTCTAAAACAGCAGATATAAGAACGCTGTGTAGTCTTTATGAGCTCAGTTTCCTCTCCTTCTGCACAGGCTTCAGGGAAACAGTCTCCTCCAGACACCATGAGCAAGATCATCCTCTATGAGCATGTTAACTTTCAGGGCATCAGCAGAGAGTTCACCTCCTCCGTCTCCAACTTAATTCAGGAGAATTTTAATGACTGCATCTCCTCTCTGAAGGTGATCGGGAATCCATGGGTGGCATACTCAGACATCAATTTCAGTAGTAACCCGGAAATCTATGAAGAGGGTGAATATGCCAGAGTGGAGCACAATGACAGCATTTCCTCTCTAGAGTTGGTGACAGAGGACCTGACAGATCCTCAGATAACACTTTATGAACATGTGAACTATCAGGGTAGAAGTATTGTGCTGAAGAATGAGACCAATCTGTGCCATGGCTCTTTTAACGATGTAGCATCTTCTCACAAGGTGCAGAGAGGAGCCTGGGTTCTGTATGAGCATATCGACAGACATGGGGCAAAGATGGTGGCCAGAGCTTCTCGTGATGTTCCAAGCTATGGCTGGTTCAATGACCGAGTGTCTCATTTACGCCCCCTGAAGCCAGGAATGCCCACCATTACAGCAGAGGTTCTCTGGGACAAGAAGGAAGAACATGTCAAATCAGTTATCCTCGACTCCATATGTGGCCTGAACCATGGAGAATGTGAACAAAGCTTCTCCACTGAGCTGTGTAGAGAGTATGAGGGCTCCGTCACTGACAACTTCAGCTTTAGTAATGCAACACAGATCACCTTGGGATCAACATTTGATGTAGATGTAGAAATGATGAAGGCGAGCTGCAACCTCTCTTTGAGTAATACCTTCACTGTGGAGAAAGGGAGCAGCAACACCAGAACTGAGAGGAAGAGTGTCCAGATCTCCCTGCCAACCACTGTCCCTCCCCACACCAAGCTCACTGTGAACGTGGTGAGGAAAGAAGTGGATGTGAAGGTCCCAGTCAAGCTGACCATCACCACTGGTTCCCACAGCAGGGATGAATTTGGAGAGTACAGGTGCCAGTCTGGCAACTCCATCACCACTGAGTTCAAGGAGGACAAAATCTAGTGCATGAGTGTGGTGAGATACAAAACACACAAACAGCATAGTCTTAATTTAGCGTTTGGTGTTTGCACTAGTAGAGTCTTGTTTTTGTTCTTGTTTTATTTGGTAAAACACTGGTTAGGAAATAACCATAATAGCATAATCACCTCATCATCTGACCAGGTGATGCAAACCTCAGAGCTCATGTCTTGATTTCTCTTATTTCCAGGGAACCCTGCTAGTGTGGAACCCTTTACGCTGTCACTGTGCCTCACGAGGGTATCATCAGGACATCACCCGACAGTCTCGCCATCAGCTGAGATCGACATGAGAAGATTTTCTTTTTTTATTCAAACCTCTCGCCTCCTAACTTTAACTGCTTCTTTGATGCACCTTAATTCTGTTAGCATAAGAATAAGCATAACATTTCTGTGTGTGGTCTTTTCTAATTATTTCAGTTATGCTATATCTAATAATAGTTAGGCATAGTAACAGACCCCTGAAGTTGTCTTTATTCTGCAGTTGGTGTCATGGTCATATTAGGAACTCCAGGTCTAAGCTGTTTTTTTGTTATGACCAAAATCACACCTGGTGTTTTAATTAAATATTCCAAAGCTGACATGTTTTACATTTGTCCTCCAGTTGACACTGGAACCTCTGAATTAGAAGATTACTTAGAACACAAAATAGTAATGTTACTTCATGCAAGTTAATATTGCTGCACACTTAATTGACATCAGCATTAGCAGTCTGAGTTTGAGTAGCTTTTGTTGGTATTTTATAGTGTTGAAGTTTATGGTATAATATTTCAGTGCACTGGAGCTTCTGCTTCCTTGTGGCATGTGTTTTGGTATTATTTGTATACATTATTTGTGTTTTGACTGCTAAAAAACGTAATATTTCAAAGGACATTTGGAAGAAAAATGTACACTGGACAAAAAGCTTGGCTTTGGAGCAATTTGTTTTCCACAGCACTCAACAGCCAGGTTGAGAAAACCAGCAAAGACCCAGAGTTCCTCACATGCGCATGACACCAACAGAATGATTCACAACTTCGAGGTCTATATGTGTTAAGTCTTATGTCCTCGTTGACTGAAGTACTTTTTATTATCAATTTCTTTTGATTAGACTGGTTTGACCATGTTTTTGTAACATAAAAGCAGCAAAAATAAAGAAGTATGCATTTCTGTCTCTTGTGGCGACTGAAGTTAATCTGTAGAACTTTACTGAAGGGTAATGTTCAAAAGGGTACATGACACCTACATAAAGCCTTCATGACAATATGAATACACTGCCTGATGTCTGATAGATTGCAATAATTTTGAATAGGTTTTGGCCAAAAACATACTTTTAAATCATTTGAATTCATAGCAGAGAGGTACTTCCATTGGTGGTTCTAGAGAACTTTACCAGGGGTGGCAAAAAAGTGTCAGGGTTTTGGCAGGGGTGGCAATGTGGGGGTGGGGGGTAGGTTTTAACAGGGTCGATACTACTCATTAAGTTGTTTCGCTGACGGCTGATAAACACATGCTCACAATGAGAATGTGTGTGTGGCGGGGGGGATGAATGTGCAAGCACGGGGAGGGTAAGTTGTTTGGGAGCTTTGAAAGGGGCATTCATCTGCCCCACAGAGGGGTGGAAGCCAATGACCCAGGAGAAATTTTGGGATGGCATTTGGGGTGGCCAGTCAGCTTTCAGCAGTGGCCTTGGCCATCATGGCCACTCCTTTAAACCGTGCATGAGTACATCCACCATTTACCACTATTTTACCATCATCAACATTACACATAGAAACTCAGAAGACACATGTGGGTAGTTTTAAATTCGGGTGTTATTTCACAGAAAAAAAAAGTGGTTTGCTTTACATACCAAATAAGTGAAACCAACTAGCGAACAATTGATACATGTTAAACAGTGCTGCAACTAGGAGAAGGGGGCTGGTTAGCGTTAGCATCGCTAGCATGCTAACAGCTCTGCCCACCACAGAACATGTTTGATTCTGGTGAACTGAAGAACTGCAAACGTTTAGATAATTAAAAATAATGATTAAAATCTGAGAAAGTGAAGGCGAGCAGTTGCTAACGGGACTAAAAGGCAAAATGCCACCCATCACAGTACAGGTCTGATTCTGAAAGTTGGTGCTCTGTTCACACAAATTTAGATGATAAAATGTTTTTTTTTGAGAGAGAGAGAGAGAGAGAGAGAGAGAGAGAGAGAGAGAAAGAGAAAGAGATAGCAAAAGTAGAGTGACAGTAATCCAAAATCAGATGTGTTCTGTGGTGTGTGCAGAGCATGTTGTAGCTCTTTGTCATGGCACGGTTGCAATCATGCTTAGTTTTTCTGACCTTTTTCCTTGCTGTGATTTGCCCCCTTTTTCTATTGGTGCCACCATCAGTGAGCTCCCACACCAACAATCAGTGAGCCCTCTAAAATATAAATGGGTAGTATGTGTTTATTTATCAATATACATGTGGAATAAAAATTTACATCAGAATTTTTGAATACCATCATCATTTGTACATACGGTGGTATACCGAATTGCCCTCATACCACCCAAATCTAGCAAGCATGTTATCCTAAGTGAACCAAACTTATGGCAGATTAACTGGAATTGGTGAATTATCAGAAACCTGTTTAGAAAGATGCCTGGTCAAAAACAGGCATCTATAACTGAAAAAGGCAAACAGTAACTGAAAAACATAAAGGTTTGATAGCAAGTCCAGGCTTGGTTACAAAAAGTGAACACAGAATGCTGCCTATAACAGCTTGATAGCTGTTAAAATGTAGAGACATTTTGAAACCAAGTGCTCCACATGTGCTTAAAAAGTCAACACAGTCACTGAGCAAATTTATGTTTCTGGGCAAAAAAGTAGTCTACTCCTTTTTTATGCTACTATTGGGCAATATTAAATCTTTATGAATAAAAATTAAGCTTACAGACCTTGTCCTGATTGAAAATCTGGCACTTGAGGTGAGTTTGAGGCTCTTCTTTAGCACGGGCTCTTTATCCATCAGTTTCAGTGTGATTAGATGATTTGGCAGAATGTTTAGTGAGTTTACAGCTGAATAACTGAAACTGCTACTAGATCAGACAAAATCAAGAAAAGCTGAAGGAAAAGGAAGTTTTAACTATTACACTTTTTTTGTTCAGATGCTGCCAGAGGAAAGTTGTTGCCCTCGCTCACTTTGCACACAGTAACCTGATGCAGGTAGTTCATGCTCAAGAATTTACATTGCAGCTTACTTTGCGCTACTTTGTTACTGGAAAGTGTATTTACATTATTGTATTGCATTACATGACCACATTGCCCCCAGCACTGGTTATTATGTGATATAATGCAAGTTGCTTTAACCAATATGATAATGGTCATTTCCACTAGTGCCTCTATGTGATTGCACAAATGTTATTTTTCTAGTATTTCTAGGATATTTTGTCTTATTATTCCACATTATTTATGGCAGTCTTAAACACTTAAATACTGACATCTGGGCAATCAGGCAACAAACAGCATGTGAATAAAAGTCTGTGGACACCTAATTATTCAATTCAGGTGTTTCAGCCACAGCCATTGCTAACAGGTGTATAAAATCAAGCACATAGCCATGCAACCTCCATAGACAAACACTGGCAGTAGAATGGGTTAAAATGAAGGGCTCAGTGAATTTAAAACGTGTCAGTGTCATAGGATGCCACCTCTGACATGTGGAATTTCTGCCCTGCTAGATCTGTCATGATCAATAGTAAGTGCTATCAATGTGAAATGGAAACATCTAGACGATGACTACTCAGCCACAAACTCACAGCTAATGTGCGATGCAGTCTTCTGTTGCATCGCTCACTACAGAGCTCTGATTTGCTTCTGAAAGCAACATCAGCATGAGAACTGTATGTTGGGGGTTTCATACAAGAATTTCCATGGCCGAGCAAGATCAGCATGTGAGATGCCAAGCATTAATCATGTCCCGTGCCACCACATCTGTGCACAAAGCAAGGTCCATGAATGGCTTGACAAGCTCATTGTCGAGGAACTCCATTGTACTGAACAGAGCCCTGACTTTGACCCCAGTGAACACCTTTGGGATGAATTGTAACACTGATTGCGATCAAGACCTTCTCAACCTCACAAATGCTCTTTTGTTTACTAAAAATGTAGAGTTATGGGACTTTAACTTCATATATATATATAATATATATATATATATATATATATATATATATATATATATATATTATATATATATATATATGTGTTACTGTGTGTATTTGTAAGTTGCTGGCTAGATAGTTTACACTCACTGATGAAACCAGAGGTCTATTGGTCAGTCATGTCACATGCTATATAAAACGATTCTTTAAGCTCAAAAGTGAAAAGGTCTTTGCACTTTTAGCTGCTGCTGTTAGGATCTTCTCTAAATTGAAGTTATTAAAACCAGGTCAGGTTTCAGGTCAGCGGGGCAAGGATGTCTCTGTAGACTGGAGGGCCTGAATGGGACTTGTTTTTGGGCTGGGAGTTACATGATGCAATCAGCCCACTCCAAACTCTAACAGTATTTCTACTGACACACACACACACACACGCGCGCGCACACACACACACACACACACACACACACAGTTTACAAACTTTCATCTTCTTAATTAACATTATTTGAATGCTACACTTGGATAACCTAGGTAGCTAGCTAGTGAACTAATGCTCACTAAGTTAAGGTCAGTTCACTGTCCACTGCTCAGATATGTCCTCTTCCCCCTAATTAGCCTTTTTTGTTCTTGTCTTCTTGGATTTTCCTTTTGCTTGCAGCTCTTGTTGCTGCTTTCCATTGGCATCAGTAATGAAAAAACACTAATGACCACTGTTGAGTGCTGCCTCTATTATGTTTGCCAGTACCAGATTCATCATCCCTCTGAATTTGATACGCTAATCTCTTAAGGCAGATTTTAGCTTCTTATTTGAAGAATAAGTAGAAGAATTTATTCTCTGTTCCACCCTAAACAGTCCCACAGATGTCTGAATGTAACTGCT